GTCTTCTCTATTTGAACTCCAGCAGAAAATCTACTTAGTGTCATGTATTCTTCGTGTAGTGCTAAAGTACAGTTGTCAGTCATCACTGGTTGCTAGTCAGGTAATTAGCATATTAATCATAGAATTATAGAATACCAGGTTGGAAGGGACCTCAAGGATCATCTGGTCCAACCTTTCTTGGCAGAAGAACGGTCTAGACAAGATGGCCCAGCAAGCATGTCCAGCTGAATGTTAAAAATGTCCGGTGTTGGGGAATCCACCACATCCCTGGGGAGATTATTCCAAGGGCTGATTGTTTGCCTTGTGTAAAATTTTCCTCTTGTGTCCAGTTGGAATCTCCCTAGGAGTAGTATGTACCCATTACCCCTCATCTTTTCCGTGTGACTCCTTGTAAAAAAGGAGTCTCCCTCTTCTTTGTAGCCACCCTTTAAATACTGGAATATGGTGATAGGGTCTCCCCTAAGCCTTCTTTTCTCAAGGGTGAACGAATCCAGTTCTCTCAGCCTTTCATCTTGTGGCAGGCTTCCCAGTCCTTTCATCGTCTTTGTGGCCCTTCTCTGGACCTTCTCCAGCCTGTCCACCTCTTTTTTTTTGCGTAGCAGGGACCAAAACTGAACACTATTCCAGGTGTGGCCTGACAAATGCTGAGTAGAGTGGGGTGATGACTTCTTTATCTCTGATGGTGATGCCCAGGTTGATGCAACCCTGCATCCTGTTGGCTTGCTTTGCCACAGCAGCACTCTGTTCACTCATGATGAGCTGCTTGTCCACTTGGACCCCCGGGTCCCTTTCCGCAGAGGTGCTCCCCAACCAGGTGGATCCCAGCCTGTGTTGCACTCCTGGATTATGTTTTCCCAGGTGCAAGACCTTACACTTGTCCTTCATAAGGTTCCTGTTAGCCCACTCTTCCAGCCTATCCAGGTCAAATGAATTTCCCCATGAATACGGTAAGTTACAAGTGGGAATCTTTGGTAGTACATGTAGGTAACCATGAAACAATGCAACATCACTGTGTATTTCAGTAACATTTTTTAGTCTTGCTAGCTTGTGGAGCTTTGTAGGAGAAGACCAAGAATCTTGGTTAAGCTTTGCTGCATTATGTCAACAACAATAATATAATACTTTATTTCTCTTTGGGAAGAAAGGGAAACATTTGCACCAGTAGCTGAGGTTTAATTAAATCAGTTTCCTGTGAATCTTTCGAAGACCAGATGTGAGCCAGATTCCCATTTCTCTGTGTGCTCAGAAGTTTATATATTATTTAACTTGTACGATGGGCTGTGTTTGCTCTGTTTTTATTGTTTGAAATTGTCTTCTGAATTACCATGGGAAATGTGCTTTTGAAGCATTCTTTCAAATGGCTTGTTTCTTCAAAGTCAGAGAAAACAGAAGGGTACTTTAGGTCTCTATCCAAACCTCATGTCAGTCAGGGAAAGGACTTCCCTTAAAGGGGTTATTGAGGACACGTGAGATATTCCAAAATATTGATAACAGGTCTGACAGTTTTTAAGAAACTTTATTGATATACGGCAAATGGTTTTCTTAAATTATATTTGTTAGAAAGTAAGAGTTAATAATTAGTAAATTTTGTCAGTAAAGGACAAGGATTTTTACAGTGGTACAAAACTTACTGCTCAGAGTGTGCATTCGATGTATACATGCCCTTGGTAAATGTCCCCTGTAGGAAGCCACCCTACCTGCTGATTCCTAAGAACTTCCCAAAAGCTTGTCACTTCCTTTTCCTCCTTGCATATGTGTATGATTTGGGGTTTCATAGGGGTTTATACTTAGCTCTGAAGCTCCACGTGCTTCCCCCCCCCCAACTTGCCATTTTACTCTTGCTGTATGAAAGTGGGTGATTGACAATGAGTCATTCACTGACATAGAGCATTTCAGTGAATCTAAAGCTTGTGGAATTTTACTCATTGCTAATACTGTGCTCATTTTTCTTCTCTCAAATTCTGCAGAAAATCCTTATATGCAGCTTTAGCATTAGGCCCCCAAAGGCATAAACCTATTACTGAAGTCACACAGTGTTATTTTACATGAAACATTCTGTCTTTTCTAACTTGAACTTCAGAAGAGGAGTCAGTCCCCTTTTATTCCTGGTATACAATAATGAAGATAATGGAGTGGGTTTGGAGAAGCCTTATATACTGTGACAGACCTCGAGCCCTTGCCCTGAGGGTCGTCTGCCGACCATGGGATTCCTTTTGCAGCTAAAATCATTAGGCGAATGAGATACAGGCATGTTTTTCTTCTGTTTTCTTAAGGCATCAGAGGATGGCAGAGACTCTCTGTCTGTTCTCTTCATTTGTAGAAATGAAATGGAAATCTCTTTGAAGTCACTGAGCTTGACACAAGTTCATGAAAGCAAAGACCAAAGCAGCCACTTAGCTTTTTCTTGCACTATTAATGGGATTGGATTGCTGTATTTTAATTTATGGCCAGTGCTTGTGGAAAATTAAATCTCTGAAATCTGTGTAGCCTTTCCTCTAAATATATGGCTTGGCTTCTGGAAAAAATAACAGGCAAACAAGTAAATTCTCTCCTATTTTTAGAATAAGCTGGAGTACTCACCGGCTCTTTATATCTCCTAACTTTTAATTAAGAATCAGTCTTCTTTTTCCATTTTGGCATTATATGTTTGTAATAGATTATGTATCTGTCTGTTAATCTGTAAAACTTCCATACTGTATCTTCTGCAACCAAACCTATGTTATTGTACAGAATTTGTAGGAATTCTGGATAGAAGGGATCATATAGGCATCTACCTGACCACGGAGGTGGCATATATCAGCGTGTGCATGTGTGGGTGCACTCATTTGTCTGCATGGCTCATTCTTCTATAATATGGACCTCTGAAACTCGGTGCTCTTTGGCTGTTTAGGTGAATACTCTGAATTTTATATAAATGCATGTACACAGA